GTGCAGCCCCAGCTACAGATATTAAAATTAAAATCTCATTTCCAGTTCCTGTTGAAGCATAGACAAGCTATGACAAACATTTTGTCATCCGGACTTGTTTAGCCTTCTCCTTTTCTTCTCACTCCATAATGTTAATAACTTCACAGCAGGTTGTTGCTCCACAGTCTCCATTCTGTTTACATCTGTGTCACCATGGCGTCTGGTGAGGTGGTGCACTGCCACCTGATTGCTCTCTTTGCCACGATATCCATAATAATATCCTGTAATGTGAAGCACTGCAAATCTAAAATCTTGGAAGTTGTGCAGACCAAAAAAATATCTGAGAAGTTTCCCTCTATATATGTGATGCAACCTGATTTCAAAATGTGTTTTGATTTTAAAGCTCCTGTAGCTTAAATTGTCATAAGAGGAGAGTCGTAGCTCCAGCTGTCAGGCTGCAGTACTGCCCGGTGTCAGCAGGTGGCAAACATGGTGTTTGTGTACCAGCCCACAGGAAGGTCAATGAGGTCTCAAATGTGTGAATGTGATCCTGTTGTAATGTTTTTAATGTGTCCAAACGTCCTCAGAGAACCAGAGATGTGGAGGACATGGACTTCGTCAAAGCCAGGACCAACAGAGTGTCCACCCTCAGCAAAGGGTCGAGAACGAGGAAGAAGACCGGTCAGAGACACAGCTGATTACTGAAAATGTTTTTGTTGTTAAAAGTAGATGTCAGTCGTGTATGTATCATTAAGTCTAGTTTATTCTAATCCACCTTATTTAGTTTTATGAAGATGTGCAACACCACAACACATAAAATACGTAGCCCATTACCATTTGCGCATCTTCCCTACTATATGATGTCCACTTCCATAGTTAGTAGGAACAGGGGAGTACAATGGACGCACATTTCTTCCTGCAGACACATGGTATCTACATCATTACTTACAATTACAAGCATTGAAAACGTACTTCGAAAGATTAAACTGCATGCTTTAGTTTTAGTCTGTTTTTATCTGTTTAATATCTCAGTCAGAGGATTTTTTTTTTAATGTCCCCTGAAGCTCTTGGAAAGGAATGGATGTTTTATATCTGTTTTGTGACATTTTACAGCCACACAAAGATAATAATTATCAGTTGCAACTTTAGTGTCACCTAAAGGAGCTTTTTGAAAAATGTATCAAGTCAGTTTACTAAAGAGGGGACAGCGATGCGTTTGAAAGATGAAGCAGATTTTACTACCAGCTTTTAAATGTTTTGGATGATTTCATATTTTTTTTCCAGAACACGGTCGCATGTGGATGGTCTGTGAGGGGTTCCAGTTCATCCTGTGGAAACAAGCCAACGCTCTGCTCACACTGGGAGTCAGTCCACAGTTTAAGGTCTGCTTTTTATCCTCCTCATTATTAGACCTGCATCACAAAGTGTCTGATCAGACGCTTCAATGGTTCAATTGTTTCAGGATGACGTGCTGTGTCCGCTGTGGAGACTCTTCCTGCAGAAGAGTCGACTGGCCTACACCTCCAACCCAATGAGGAGCTCCAAGTTCAAAGTGGTAAGCTCTGAACTATTATTTTGAAGTCATTTTTGTCATTTATTTGTATATTTCTGATGTGATTTTTTTTTTTTTGTTATATTTGTATTTTTAAATTATGAGTTTAAATTTGCCTTATTTGATACTCTGAATATTTTTTTTCTTTTTTTTAAAGTTTTATTTGTTTAATATTAGGTCCAGTGTTTCCTCTACATTCATTTAGAAATGGCGGCCGCCATTCCTAAATCCCATCCGCCGCTCCTTCCATTTTCTTTTTCTTTTTTTTTGTCCACCGCCGCATGTCTCCACCTTCACAGCAGAGTCCTGCACTGGGTCCGGTCCTGGGGATTAATAAATTAAATTTCTTCTTCTCCCCTCAGGGAGATGTGAACACAGATTCGGACAGTGTGGCCGAGTCCAGTGCGACGGACGGAGAGTCGAACCCGCCGAGCACCGCCGGCTCTAATGCAGGTACAGTAGAGACGCTGAGGCTGAGAACCTGCAGAACTACGACAACATTTACAACAACTACTGCTGCTATTTTACTGCTACTGCTGCTGAACAACTACTAGTGACATTCCTGTAATTTATTCAGTTTTATCAGTTAAACACTGAGCTTCCTTTTTCTTAATCATTTTAAAGAACATTGTTTTACCTAAAAAGTCCAGTTGAGGCTCTGATTTGTTCATAATTCATGTTGACATGTGACAGTGTGTATCGTGCTGTTATCGTTCCATGTCAGACGCTTGTTTTTAAAAAACAAATTCCTCAAATATTTGAACTGAAGCTAACTTTATGCAAAATAATCATTCAAAAAAAAGATTTGATTAAGTAAAGTTTATAGAATACCATACTTCTCTTTTGTTTTAAAAAAATTGAGTCTTTGCACCAAGTTCTGATAAAAGAAACGGCAGGTTAGAGAATTAAAGTCACGCTGTATCATCACATAATGAATTGATGAACATTTGTTGTCGCTGTAGTCCTTCATGAGTTGAAACGCTCCTCTTTACCCTCAGAGAGCGCCAGTGACTGGTCGGGCTCGGTGGATGCCTCCAACTACGTGTCGACTCGGTTGAAGCGGAAAAAGGGTCCGATAAGCATGACCAAAACTCTGGCTCTGCTCCACCTGGCTCTGGTCTGGAGCCGTGAGGCGCTGACGCTCAGTGACCTGCTCAGGTGACATGTTTTAGACCAAACCTGCTGCACAAGGCGGGAAAAAAAAGAGATGTTAAATATGAGGTGTGTTGGAAAAGTTCCAGGACTGGTGTCACAAAAGATATATTTCAACTACAAACTACAAGTTTTCCTCTTCCAAGTAATCCTCCTGGAGTCTAACACACTTCCTCAGCCTTCTCTTCATGCCGCCATGCACTCCTGGAAGGATTCTTCTAGGATTCTCCACAGCTCCGTCATCACAGCCATCTTGATGTTGTCCATGTCTTCTAAACGGGTCCCCTTGATGACCCCCTTGAGCTTGGGGAGGCGGAAACAATCCCACGGAGCCAGGTGGGGTGAGTAGGGAGGTTGCTCCAGGACGGAGATGCTCTTCTCAGCCAGGAACTGTGGGATGCTCAGGGCGTTGTGAGCAGGCGCGTTGTCATGGTGAAGCAGCCTCCACTTGTCCTGCCACAACTCTGCCTCTTCTGAACAAAGTAAACGCTGCAGGATCTCTCTGTAGACGTGCTGGTTGATCATCTGAAGGGTAAAACTGGTAGTTTGTAGTTTGGGTTTGAAATACATCTTTTGTGACACCAGTCCTGGAACCTTTCTGACACACCTCGTAGAATAAATGACTGTGTGGGTCTGAAAAATCCTGGACAGTTCTTGAAGTGATTGTTTGTGTTTTCAGGCTGGTGAAGGAAGGTCATGTCCCGTATGTGAACGCCCACGAACAACTGCCTGAAGAGATGAAGCTCTTCGGAAGAGATGCTTTGATCTTTAGAGTCGAGGTCAGAACTCCAACTCCTGGTGTTATTAATGGTGGATGTCTGAGTGTAACAATATTTAAAGGTTTTAAATGTTATTATAGTAAATCCTCTTGATTCTGATTGATTGATTCAGTATTTGCTCTCCATACTGGTCATCTGACGGCATCTGAATGTGTCTGAATCTTGGGTACTTTTACCAGGTTGGACGTCGTAACATTTCTGTATCACCTTCAACACAAGTCTGAAGTGCACTCCGTCACATTAATGGATAGACATACACAAGTAACGATACGTGGGGCGGATTTCTTTTCGTGTTTCGGCTCCAGTATTCATCCAAATATATCTCAGAAAGCACAAACAGTGTGTTTGTTATGATCACAGCACACTTTTCTCACTCCCTTTATTTTACATTTTCAAATCTTTTAGGTTACAGAATGAAATGTCTAAAAAATAAAACTTTACTGCAATGAAAACGGACAATAACGGCTTCAAGACTCACGACACTCACTAGTAAACAATGTCGTCCGAGTTTTCTCCCTAGAAGACATTAATAGGAGTTTAAGTTTGCCTCCTCTGGCAGGTTTTTTTAAACGCCTTTATCATCAGTAAGGAGTAGCGTCTCCAACAAAAGTGAAAAATACAGCAGCGGTTACTTCATTAAACTCTCATCATTATAAATGAACCCTGAGAACACAGAGAGCAGGTCAGTCTGGATCAGGATCCAACAGCAAGTCGCACTGTGTCGGCCTACGTGTTTTCCCATCAGACAGATGAGCTGTCACACACTGAATCCCAGTTTGTTGCCTGCAGCTGTTACGGACTATTTCCTTTATTTAAGTCCCCATTGTATCAGACAGCAGTAGGATTCATCACACAGAGTCACAGTTTATCAGCTGCCGGTCACATTCAGTCTGTTGGTGCATTATCATGTGTTGTACGTCACTTGGTTTGTTGTCTAGTTTCACCTGAATGACAAATATCAAGTGTGTACCGCTGCATTCTCCACGCTGAATCTCTGCATGAGACCTTGAGGAGCAATAATGGGAATAAAAAGCGACTGAATGACTAGAATGTTGTCACTTTAACGGACTGATGAAGCCAGTAATGTTCCACATCCAATGTGTGGAACGAGCTTTTGACTCTGGGATTCATTCTCACTGTCGAACTGTGAAAATTTGACTCAGTGACTTTGTGACGCTTTTACTTTGAAGCTTTGTGACTCTTAAACATTGTGCCTCCGACTCTGTGTGTGTCAGACTCTTATTGCTATTCTTCATCGTTCATCTAATCCAGGGATCTCCAACTCCGGTCCTCGTGAGCGACTGTCCTGCAGGTTTTAGGTGTTACTGTACTGCAACACACTGGACTCACATTAATGGATCTCCAACAGCTTGTTGTCAAGTTCTGCACAAGTCTGTTAATGATGCATTGATGCGAGTCAGGTGTTTTGCAGAACGGAAATGTCTAAAACCTGCAGGACAGTCGCTCACGAGGACTGGATTTGGAGATCCCTGGTCTAATCCAAGTGTGTCTTGTTAACTTTACTGTTTGTGAGTCCCACGCTGCCGATTGAACAGATTTAAATATTCACTTGTTCCGGCTTTGATTAGACTAATTAATAAGTAAGATACTTCTAATTGTTGTTTTTTTTTATATAGTGGCATGTTTTGGACTCATTAAATTAGACAATGATATTCATTGTATTCTGCTTTTACCTTATGTATGTATTTATGTATTCTATCTATTCACTTTATTTTCTCTGTCTGCTTGTGTTGACTGCAGCATGGGTGAACAGCCCAAGACAACATTTCCCACGCCTGGGACAATAAAGTTAACGTTGAATCTTGTTTCTACAGAGTGTCCCATCTCACCGGGTTGTGCATAACGAGGCCCAGGCTCTGGTTCTGTTCCTGCAACTTCCTGCTTTTCCTCCAATCAGCTGTGAGACTCTGCTGCACCCAGAGCTGCTCAGCCTGCGATATCTGACCGACACCAACTTGCCCGGTGATAATACCAACGAAAATACCGATCTATGAGATGAACAGTGCTGCTGATAACTGCTGGATCATTACTGCTGACACTGACACACATTCTGATACGATCCAGAACCCACTCTGAAGGACTTCTCTTTTCCCTGTCAGATGAGCTCCACCTCTGGGTCTGCAGACTGATGGAACAAGCCGGTTTGGCAGATCACAAACTCCACACGTTTGACCCTGACTCCTGTCCTGAGCTGCCACGGTACGATGTCCAGACCGCCGCCCTCATCGTCATCACCATGAAGCTCATCTTCGGCCTGGACGACCACACTGAGTGGTAACCGCCCCTCCCTTCTGTAAAACTGCGTCCATGTCTACAGCTACATGTGCGCCACTTTGCTTTTTGTCTTTCAGGTATTTATCCAATCAAGTCGGTACCCAGGACAACTCAGGTTGGTTGTTCACTCCAGTATTCATTATTCAAATTTTATGCAGGGGTTACAAGACCTGCTGGTTTTGTTTTCCGAAGACATGACCCCATTTGGCTTTGAGTCTGTTTTGTCTTGGACTTGACAACCACCTGTGAGTCTGGAAAAAAAAAAGATTGTGTTTTGTCGTTTCACTGATGATTACCAGGTGAGATGTTTAACCTGAGGAGGTGGTACCGAATAATGCAGGCTGCTTTGATGCAAGCTCAGCAGAGGAGAACGCAGGACATCGCCAGGTGAGACATCAACAGCGCTCCACCTGATTCACATGATCTACAGGTCAGCTGTTGCTCACACACAAACCAGAAACCACGTTTTAGACCTGATGCATGACATCATCTCATTGCTGTCGGTTTGAAATCTTAAAACTTTATTTTGGACTCTTTCTTCGCCTGGACTTTGCCCCCTTTTGACTTGAGCTTCACTCATGATTCAACCCCTTTTGGGTTTAATCTTAAACTGTGACTCAGTCCCTTTAGGACTTGGTCTTGTCTCTGTCTTTCATCAGGTTCAACCCTTTATGGACTCTGTCTTGTCTCAAACTTGAGCCTTTATGGACTGAGTGTTGACTCAGAGTCAACCACTTTTGGACTCGGTCTCTTCTTGGATTCTGTTCCTTATGGACTCATTCTTGTCTCAGACTCAGCCTATTGAACTTAATTAATTGGACTTCAATCAAACTCTGCCCTTTTTTGACTCTTGCTACTTTTGGACTCGGACTTTTCTCAAACTCAAACCCATTTGGCCTCAGTCTTGAACCTTTGTGGATTCTTTGTTGTCTGGGACTCTAAGCTCTTTTGAAGTTAGTTGGACTGAGCCTCTTTCGGTCTTGGTCTTGGCTTGAACTCACCGCTATCCGAGTCAAGTTTGTTAACACGAAACTTCCTCGAAAACAAAGTATCACCTGTTGCTGAAAAGGGGCGCTGCTCATGTGGCTGACCCGACAGTTCTCCCTCTGGACGGGATGTAGCTGTAAACACAGTGTCCCTGAGGTACCCTACCGAAGGGATCAATAAAGTTTTATCTTATCTTATCTCTTAAAATACCAGTGACTTGAAATATTGAAGCAATAGCAGCTGGATTTTATTGTGAAATAAACAAGATGCTGAAATGCTGATTGTGTTCTTCTCTCAGTGATTAATTAGTAATTGTAGTTTCTTTGAGTCAGTTTAATCAGTTTCATTTAAGCGTCCTCTGATCTTACTAAATATAACGTCAGTGAGGCCTAAAATCCCAAAACGTAGCAGAGCCAAGTCGGATGTGTGTATGAGATGATGACAGCTTTTGTTTACTTTTGCTTATGTTTGGTGTTTGTTCAACAATATAATGTTTTTATCACTAATGTATTTATTGTTTATCTCCATTTCATCCACAGGAAACAGTGGAAGCCAAAGAAACCTATTTACCCGAAGAATAAAGGGACTAAATGCATAGTGATAAAAAAGAAAAGTAAGAATCTGAGTTTGTAGACTGCAAAACAGCATCTGACTCTGTGTTGTGGGCAGTGAAGTGGTCACTTTAATGTTCCTCCATCTAGTCTGCAGGTTGATTCTTTTCTCTCCAGACGGCTTTAGTTTTAGCCATTCTGGTTGCATGACATCTACTAATTCAGCCTCGATGGGAATCTCCTGCTCATCTTTTAACCCCAAGTTTTTCATAATAAAAGATTAGGTTCTTTCCATAACTTACATCAACATTATTCAAAGTGACAACCAGAGTTTTTTTTGTTTCATCAACCTTTTTTTGGTCGGATGTTGCAGAGTTCCAAATGCAATCGAGCTGAAAAGGGTTTAGACTGAGTTGAGAGCAACCTCCGACAGAGAACTATCAGTTGAAACGGTTTCGTAACGCTTTAAACTGGCGCTGACCTTGTTGCTCAGCTGTGCGTCTACAGCTTTATTGTGAAGGTTCGTTCTCTGCATCTGTTTTCAGAGAAGCCTTTTATAAACAAGCTGGTTAACACAGTGGAGCATTCAGCAGCTGATGAGCCAGATATTTCCCTAAGGAGCTGGTGGAGACCAAAAACGGAGATAAAAGAAAAAATAGAAACATGACTCTAAAAGAAATGATAGATAAATAAGCAGCTGAGAGCAAACAAGTGATCACATTACAGTGTTGTGATCATGACTTGTTATGGACAGTGATATCCATGAGGTTGTGCGCTTAACAGAGCTTCAAACAGGAATCTTCTTCAAACCAGAGCGCTCAAGATCGTCTTTCTAGAGGTTGATTTTTACAGAAAATAATGAAACACACAGAAATAGCGCTACAGACTGATGAGGGGTTCTTGAAACACACAAGCACCTGACAGGATTTATACCTTACAGGCTAAACTCTTATAATTACTATCTGTTGCATGTCTGTGTAGGAATTGCGGAGCAGGTGCGCATGTGTTTTGAGAAGCTGTCCTCCTGTCCGGCTGGTGTCCAGGAAGTTGGTCCGTCCAGCTTCAGGTTCTGCTGGGGGGACGAGGACGGATCCGACGGTCCCAGTCTGCATCACATGAAGCTGGGTGGAGCCGTGACCCTGAAAGACAACTTCCTGACTCCCTCCAACTCCACGTACTGGCACCCAGGGCTCAGGAAATGCGACCGCCGGTAGGGCTGGAGCTCCAATAACGGTCATTATGTGGTAACAGGAATACAGTCGTCCTCAAATGTATTCAGACCCTTCCATTAAAGAAAAGGCAAAACTCACAATAGTCACTCAAATAATTAGAAACTGGAAAAAGTAATAATAAATAAAAATTTGCTAAATTCTAATTTAGTGAAATAAGATGTTGCTTTTGAATTGTGGTTGAAAAGAATAATTTAAAAAAGCAAATTAGACAAATTAGAGCACTTTGCTGATGAGCAGTGAAATCAAAACCTGTCAACAGGTGCAGAAGTCTGATGGAGAGTTACAGAAAACACTGGATAGCAGTGATTGGCTCAAAGGATTGTTCAACTAAATATTAGTTTACGGGTCCCATCATGCCGTCATGTCATGATGCTCATTAAATTTTTATTTATTATGACTTTTGTGAATTTTAGCTTATTTCAGTGAAAGCTGTTTTTTTCCTTCTTTAATGGGAGGGTGTGAATACATTTGAGGACGACTGTAGGTGTGGATACATTAGACGGTAGGTGAACAGTTGACTGGATGGGGGAGATGTGCAGGTGTAAAGATCAGCACCACTTCAACAAGGGCTGGCGACCGGGTCAGAGCATCTGTGAAATCTGAAGAAGACCAGAAACCAGGAGCATGTCCAGCCTCAGCACTCAGCAGAAAGTTGCTTTCCAGTTATTGAGAAGGAGAGCAGACATTATTAATGTTGGTGAAAACAGAATCGGTGATTTTGAATCAAATCAGAACACGTGCTCCAGACCTCTCCCGTCCTGATTACTTGTCCTCCTCTGCAGGCTTTGCCCCGGCACTCACTACTCTGAGATGGAGCCGACGCTGCCGCGGTCCTTCGTCTGGCTGCTGCAGCTCTTCTCCTTCCTGCTCGACGTCAGGCCGTTCTACCTGTACGAGGAGGTGCTGAGGGTGGAGAGACTAGTCCTCGGTACCAAAACGCCCTGCAACGAATTCCAGATCAAGAAGAAAACCAGGACCAGGGCCCAGACCAGAGCATCATCCAAGACTTTACAAAGAACTTGTGAAACTGGAGGAGAAAGCAGAAAAACTGTCAGTGACTCAAACTAAAACAAGCTGCAGGACATCGGCTCTCTGTTCTCCTGCTGCTGCCTTTGTTTGTTCGTTTTGCAGCAGCAACATTTTCTCCAACTTTATGCCAGAAATATTTTTTAATAAATGCTTCAGTTCTCCCAGTGTGTGTTTGGCATCAGGGATACATCGATTTTATGAAACAGGAAGTCACCTGTAAAAACAGAATAGTTTTCTATCACTTAATTAAAAAGAATAAACCTCAGCAAAATGGGAGGCAGCTTTTGAAACTAAAGACACTAAAGACGGTGTGTTTTCGTCATGTGGAGGATGCAATCAGAATCCAGGTAAACAAACAGGACTTCTGTGAAACAATTACATGAATATTATGGGAGTGAATCATCATGTAGGCTGATATCTGTAGTTTGGATATGAAGTCTTTCATATGGTTTTCTTCACAGATGAAGTGATGAGTCAATTGACTGCAGCTTCTTCACAGTGAGATTTTGTGTTCTGTTTCAAATCAGTAAATTGAATATTATTGGACAAAGTGTTTAAAGACATCACTGTAAAGTGAGGTCAGAACACCCTTCACATGTGAAAACCTCATTAATTCTTAGTTTCCTGGATAAGTGTGCGAGCGAACCCTGATTTATTTCTTTAATTTGTTCGTTTGCTTTGTGTCTCAGTGTTGCCGGCTGAAGACAAAGAAACATCAGAGCGCCGCAGTGACGGAAACCGACCAGCAGGAGGAGACGGTCGTTCACGCTGTAGGATGCTGAGGAACGACTACAACAGGTATCAAGCATACAGGAAATCAACATGGATGATGTTTGTCTGGTTCACTTTCACACACAAAACAAAGAGAGGCATGGACTAAACTTCTTAGATTAACCCTTGAAGTCGTGGATTAACTCCCTTTGTGGTCCATCAGTAATGCAGAGGAAACCCCATACTTACATCGTGTTGCTGAAGGAGTATTAATAACAAATATTTCTGAAATGTTCCAGTCATTTACAGTAATCAGAAACTATGTTTGTCCTACCTGGGTAAATATTGGGTCAGACTGATGTGTTCCGTCAAACAAAGAGATTTGCACAAAGAATCTGCTTTACTGGCCAA